GGAAGATAACAGTAAAGTATGTATGTATGTGCATATGTAGTTATTCTAGCGTAAACCAACTGATTTTAATAAAATTTTTTTAGATTGTTGTTATTGATTTACAGCGCTGCGATTGCCTGACTGCCTGCCAAAACAATCGCCGGCATGTGTGCCAACGCTATCATGAGAAAGAAAAAGAAAGCAAATGTGTTGTAATGAACAACTTTAGAACACGTTTTTAATTTTGTTGTATTAATTTATTACTGTTACGTGCTAACCAAATATAAATATAAAAATATGAATAAAAGTACAAAAAACGCTTTGTATTCTATTTAGATTAATAATGGCATTGTTTTTAAAATTATTATTTATATATGTTATGTTGATTTTGAAAATAAGTAAATAATTTCTTTAGTTTTCGAAAGTTGTAATTATATTAGATTTATTATTGTTTATTTGTAACTTTGTATTTACAATGTACAATCAAAAAAGCTGTTAACCTCAAGCGGCATACATACTACTATGCCTACTATTGATGCATTGTACTGTTGCTGCTAATTTTTGTACTACTTACACTCTATCACTTTACACCTTAACTCACAACAACTCTACACTAGAAGAGAAATCGTACTGCTATCTGATTCTGAATATATAAAAGTAGAAATTTTAGTTTTTATATACTTAATAATATATTTATTATAGCAATAAAACCACTAAGTGAATATTTCCTTTAGGTCGCTCGAAGATCAGATAAGAGGTGCGTACTTCCATTCAGTTGAACCGCAGGGCTCGATCGTTGTCGTCGAGCAACATCGAAAATCGTCCAAAATAGTTTTTTTATTCTGAAGACGCTCGGCCAATCGGGCTTTTATGCTTCTTATAGCCAGTTTCAATTCAATGAAAAACTTGTAATTTTTTTAAAATTAATATGAAAACTTACAAGGAAAAAATCATACTTAACTTAAATTTTTGGAGAAGCCAGCGTTGAGGCAGTATAATTTTAAATTTTTATCACAAACTCTTATTTCAAAAGTACTATTTTTGAAAACCATTTGTTTCCTTAAACTCAAATCTAGAAAACCCTTTTTTTTAAGTTTACAATTCACGTTATTTCTATTTTCACTGTTTTTAAAAACAACTATTTTTAAACCACACCCGTTTTTAAAACCTGTATTGCAAAGAACGCTATATACGAAACCCAGGCATTTCTAAAATCCATATTTTAAAAAACACCCTTTGGAAATTTCAGAAATTTTAAAAATATGTTTTAAATAAATATTTTGTTTTTAGGAAAAAGACCTGCAATCCCCTATATAATTGGTAAAAAAAAAACACCTCAAAAAAAAAAACACCCAGTTGCACCCAGTTTAAAAAAAAGGATCTGCGGAATACGTAACGTTAAATTGTATATGCTCTAGAGAGTGAACTTATTTTTAACTTTGAATCTGATTTAAAAAAATGCATTTTGAAGCCTCCTATATGCTGCAAAATATCGCTTTTTTATGATGTTTGGCTTTCTTTTCTCTAATAACTATTTTCTTACAAAATATGTTTGTTACAAATATCCGTTAATTTTTATATTTTTTGACATAGCAAGTTCCTGGTTTGAATTTAATGGGCCGTATGAATACAAACTTAGCTATTGCTTTTTGTTAAAATGTCAGACATTTTACTCGAATTATTCAAATAAATTGAAGTGAAATGTCTGACATTTTAAGAAAAAGCAATTGTTTAGTTTTTGTTCATACGTCCCAATGTATTATGGGTATATTGATGACTAAATTTCCATAATAACGCTTGTAATTTTATTGTTTGTTTTAGTTTTATTTTGTTGGTATAATCGTTGATTTTTTTTGTATTTTTCTTTTGGGTACAATTATGCTTAAAATTTTACTGAAAATCGAGTTAGTGACACCAAAAAATTGCCAGGTACAGCCTGTAACCGACCAAGTATTTGTTAAACAAAATATTTTGACATCCCCCAGTAATTGATTTTTAGTTTGAAATTTTAATACTTAATTTTTATTAATTATTTTAGTTTCACAGTTGTAATTGACAAACAAAATGTAGTTTTTTTTTTTAATTTTGTAATTATATTTAGTTGTTGGTTTACTTTGTTTTTTTTTATGTTCTAATTCAATATTTGTGTTTTATTTGTATGCTACATGCAATTTAAATTTTCTTACAATGATTAATTTAATTATATATTTTGTTTTGTTTTTTTCTTCTCTTTTTTTCTCGATTTCATTTATGTACTTTGCAAAAAAAAAAATAAAAAAAAAAATGTAACTGTATGTAACTACCGATTTCAACAAATCATTCACGGCTGTGATCAATCAACCAACAAACATCTCCTGTTACCACACTACGTACGCACCCACACACAAATGAATACATAACAAATCGAATGAAACATATGTACATATATACAGTTATGATATCACCGAGGCGGTTCTGTTAGCGTTGTAATAAAGCGCGTATTAAATGCCGCAAATGGAGTGTTTATCTATCTATAAAAAACGGACTCGTGATTGAAGAAAAAGTATGAACTGGAAAAAAATCTAATTATTTTAAGCCAAAAAGAAGTAAAAAAAGCAAGAGTGCAGGCCATTATGCGCCCGTACATATAATGGATAATAAAAAAACATCGTTCTAAACTTGCGAAATGCTGCGTTTGCTACATTTCAATATGCACGCGCCGCTTAACATTTTAGTTTATAATAAATTTCTTATGAAATTTCTGTCAGGATTTTCTGCATACTACTACACTACTTAGACAAAAAAATAGTTTACCAAAGGTATGTCTTTACTTAAAAAAAAAAAAAAAAAAAAAAAAATGTTAACTTTCGTGTCTTTGTATTTTGTGTGTATTTTCGCTAGAAGCTTTTTCACTTTCCAGTGCCACTGTTTGGTATTGTTTTGCCTACAATTTACCGAGTTGTCTCACTATTTGGTTTTGATTGTGATTTGGATGTGAGAAAATGTTGTGCTTGGGAATTATGTGTATTTCCACTACCATATTTACGCAAGCGAAATGCGCTTGAAAATAACTAAGTTCGGTATCGAATCACTTTTGTGCAAATGGCCGTCGTATACTTCGAATCCCTAACAAAGCCTTTGCGCTCCCCACTTGTCAGCGCTATCCCGCGAAATGCGTAAACTTTTTGAATTTAGTTTTTAGTTTATATGATTCGCGTCAGCACCAGGGATGTATTCGCGATTTTCTTATTAATTTTTTAATTTACTTTGAAGTTATATGAAATATTTGAAACCATATGATTTCATATAAGGGGCTGTTGCTAGAACCGCTGATTTAATTCACCTCGGTACACGTGTCAAAATTTCTGATGAGTGAGACCACCTTATATGGATTCGCCTTGGTTGAAACTCAATTAATTTTGTACCAAATCCCCATAATTCGTCGCTACCACCTTATATAAATTCGCCTTGGTGACAAATTCCTATAATTCTTCGTTTGTAAGCTTTGTCGTTTTCCGCATAGGGCTGTATTTTATTTTCATACAACTTTTGGAAATTTTTTAATGAGCATATCGTCTCTTAAAATCCTATTAAAACTGCGTTTTATTTGGGGTATTCGCAAGGGTGTCGTATTTTTTAAATATATTTAAGAGGTTCGCAATGTACCATAAAAGTCATACTATGGAAGGTTTTGCAATTCACTTCCGAATGAATTTCAACCTCATTCAATTTGAATTCACTTTGGTTGAAGTTGACCTGCAAGTGAATTGCAGACCATACCTAATTATGAATTTATCTAACCGTTGAAAAATTATGACATAAGACAATGCGAACTTATGACATCCTGCGAACTTACTAATTGCATATTCTTATGTATTGTTTATTTTTGTGGGCTCGATTCTGAAATTTTTTGCTTGCATTTCTCATGCATATGTGTGTTCATATTAAAAGGGTTTTCCAGTTTTTTTAGTTGTTTTCATATTGTATATGCTGTTTTTTTTTTAATTAAAAGAATCATGTCTTTATTTTTCGCATTTTTTTTTTTACATAAACCTAACAATTCATGCTAGGGAATGCGCATTATCATTTTCACTTATCGATGCAAAACACGGTCGGTTTTTGCTAGTATGTATGTACGTTTGCAAGAAAAAAAACTAAACTGCACTTTTAACATTTTTTTTTTTAATTTTAATTTTTCTTTCCTACACAACACTTACAAAATTTATAAAAAGTATATATATGTAATTTATGCGGCATTTTTGGAGGAAAAATAAATTTTCTTAAATTTCTTTGGAAAGCAAAAAATATGTCAATCATAATCTTAAAATATCGAGTGTTTTTTCTTTTGCTCCAATGCCACTAAAGTTGCATATTACAAGCAATCATATAATAAATAATAAGTTTATTAAATTTTTTGTTACATGTACATATATACACTATTTATGTATGTATGTATGTAAACATAAAATATTCTAATTCCTTTTTTTATCCAACACTGTCAAATCTAATAAATTGGGGCTGATGGTTAATGAACAATTGTTTGTCTGAACAACAACAACGGCCATGTTTTCCTCATCTTGTTAAATAAGATTCGATTTTAAAAACTATTTTTTTTTTTTTTTATAAAAATAACAGTTTCTCGAAATATATACTAGTTGCAATGTTCACAATAACCAGTTAATAGAAATAACGTTTGATTGAAATCTCAACTTGACATAATATCAATTAATTGAAGTGCCTTTTAATCATATTGTGCATTAATAAAGCTGTTTATTGAAGTATCAATTAAGCCATCACTACTCAGCCCCGGTTTGAAAATCATCCCATTCTCATAAGTTCCTAAATTAGTATATAACTTTATTCTAAATATAAGCTTTTATTTTTTCCTAAAAAAATAATCGAAATGGCTTACAGTAAACTAATTTATTTTTATTGTCTTTTTTCTTATTTTTTACATGATAATTAATTTCTACGCCTGTGTTTATATTGTGTCTGTATTGTTGTGTCTACCTCTTGTGTTTCGTCCACGAAAAAATGTATAGGTTTTACTAAAAACCAAACAATAAGCAATACCAACAACCAAAACGAATACAAACAGAACAACAAAAACAAAAATAACAAGAACAAAAACAACCAAATCAGTAACGATCTTATTGACAACACGAATTTTCCCTTCCAACAACCAACACTACCACCACCAACCCCCATAAAACGAAAAGTTGGCAGACCACCAAAATATCCAGTAAAAACACTCGATTCATCAGAGACCCCAACTAGGCCAAAACCTATTAGAAAACCAAGAAAAACAAAATCTGCACAAACACCAGCATCAATTCCCAAACCCTCAGCAACATCACCATTACCATCATCATTGCTCGCATCTCCCACAATCAGTGAGAACGCCATAGATTATTCCAGTCCAACTACAACAACGCCATATTCATTATCAGCCACATCAACAACAACAACAACTGATAATACACAAATAAAGACCGCTACACAAGCCATACACAGCACACCACCACCACCAACAATAACCACACCTACCACAGAGCCACAATGTAGCAACAGCAACAACAACAATAGTTTAGCAACCAACTGGCCTCCAATGCCTCCACCATCATCCATGAATAAGCCTATCAATATGGGCATCATTGGTGGCAGTGGTGGCGGAGGCGGCGGCGGTAGCTGTGGTAGCTTTGGTGACAAGTACAACAACAAGAGTCAAGTGGGCGCAGTCACCAGTACAGGCAATGGCGGCGTTAATTTCACCCTCAACAACAACAATAATTCTGCGAATAATTTCGTTGATGAATTTACTGATTTTGTTTTGAGTGATCGCTTTTCCGGTAAACTAACCACTACAAATTGCTTTTCCTCCTTTCAAACACCAACACCGAAATCTGCTTCTGTTACATTACCATTACAACCACCACCACCACCACCACCACCACCACCACTATCATCATTGCAACCGCCATTGAAAACACGTGGACCCTCCACGCAACGTAGGACTATCACCGCCGGAGGTGAGGCAGGCGGCACGATCGTGAGGAATGGCAACAATACGGTCATCACCAGCGCCGCCAAAAAGAAATCGGCGATACAGCCGCGCACAGTGCAACTGCTGGTAACGCGTCGTCCCATCATCACCACCGCCAGCAATAGTAATACACAAATCTTTGCCGCCACCAATACCAACGCAGCTGCCACACAAACAGCTACTATTGTTGCGCCCGGCATGCTTAAGATTACATCAACGGGGCAAACAAACCAAAACAACAACAACAGCCACATTTTACATACCTCTGCCGGTACCGAAACCGTGGTCATTGAGGAGGAGGATGACGAGCTAATAACAGCTGCAGTAGAGGCAAGTGGTGACGATGACTCGAATTCAGTCAGCTCAATTGCTATGTCGACGACTACCGCGCAAATTTTACGCAAGTTCCGCATACCCAAAGGCACCGCGCTCACGGCAAAAATGAGCGCCGCCGAAGTGGCAGACAACTCGTCAGAGGCGCTGATCTGCAGCGCATCAACATCACCGGCGCCATCACCATTACATTCCACTACCCGTTCGCCACCACCGCCAGCGGATACACCGAGCTCGGTCGATTTGGTTGAGGAAGTAATCGAAACAGATGAGAACTCAACATGTCAATCAACCGATGCGCTAATGGTGGCAGACACCACCACTACTACAACCGATACCATGAACGATGACTGCAATGCGGAAGTCGTGGATGACACTGATGCCGGCACAACCACCACAGTTTTAGTGCCAGTGAGTAGCAGTGGTGGCGCGTTGACAGGAGCGACCGCAACAGCGCTGCCACAAATCCAGCTGCAAACAGTGCAACCGAATGGCACTGTTACCTGCATTAATTTGCCACCTAATACGATTTTACTCACCGCTCCGGATGGTTCTACTATACTTGCTACAGCGACGCCGCAACAGCTGAGCAAACTGACGCAGCAGCAACAACCGCAGCCACAAGCCCAGCAGCAGCAGCAGCAACAAATTATTGCGATACAAGATTGGAATGGTAATGGCGGTGGCGCTAACGGCGATAGTGCAAGCGGTGTTGGTGGCAATACCGCCACTGTGTTGCAAGCGGTACAAGCGGCCGCATCACATCACCATCAAGCAACTGCTACAGCGCAAACGTTGCTGCTTACCGCCGATGGCACTGCAATACCATTAATTCAATCTGCACCCAACGCTGTCACGAGCGCTGCCAGTGGAACGTCGAACTCAGCGGCGGCAGCAGCGGCGGCCGCAGCGCAGATTGTCGCTGCTCAGCAGGCCGAGGCGCTGAAGGCTCAAGTGCTGGCGTAGGGTTTGGCCGGTGGCCAATTAGGGCGATTTTTGAACAATGCAACAATTTTACCGACGACGTACTTTTTCTAAAAGCAAAGCCGCTAGCAAGGTAATGTTAGAAAGAGTTTATAAGTATTTTGTAATTTTAACTTACATAGATATGTGTGTAAATAGTTCTAGTTTTATGTGCGAGTATGTTAAGTATACGAAATTGGTTTGGCATTGAAGTCCTTTGTGTTGTTTGTCTTAAATGAAATTAGTAATTCACCAATCTATGTTTTAATTGATTTTCTTAACATTCGAGAATTAAATTTTCATGAAAAATTCAAAATCAACAGCTGAAAATATATTTGTAAATCAAAAATTGCTCCAATTAGCCACCGAATGAGCGATTCTGGAACGTTGGAGAAATAATATTCAGAGCCTACGCTACTTGTAAAAAAAAATTAACCGCTCAATAGTTACTTATTTATCGTACAAACATTAATACGTGCAAGGCAGTGGAAGGATACGTTAGTCGCGTTTGGTAAAACTCGAAACGAGATTGAAGTTATTAATTTAGTGCATTCTAAAATTCGGCTTGTGCTAAGGATCGTAAATTTTACAAATTTAAGTTTACAAAAATGGAATCGAACTTTTTTACTAAAGGTTTAATCAGTGTAGACTTAACGTAACATAACTTAAAACCCGCATATTATGTGGAAAATATGTAGAAACCATTTTAAACGGAACAAATTTCATAGTTTGAGTTTATGAGTTTTTTGGTTGTTGGTCTTTCCGACAGGTTCGTCATCCTTGGTTAAAGTTACGTTAATTCTTCTCTAATTGCCCCTTAATAGCTACATTCATAAACATTTTAATTGATTTGAAATTCTTCCTGAATAGACAAAAATTTATGAACATGTTACCTTACAACTTTTTTAAACCTTTAAACTTTTTTATGAGTAGATCCATTAAGATGTTTTATAAATATAAAGATGTATTGGAAATGCCTTTTTCGAAGACCCCGTAAACAATTTTTTCAGAGTATTCTGAATTGTAGAGAAATTTTAAAATATACGCAAAAATCTCATCCGATTTATAGCCGAATTTTCTAAAATCAAAATAAACTGTGCACACTTAGATTCTTTTACGAAATTTCGAAAGAAAGATAAATGCTACTATGTAAAGAATTTCTTGCAGATTTTTTTCAGAATTTTCTTTATTTCTCGTACAGAAATGAGATGCCCCTAAAGATTTCGTTAAGATTTCGGGAACTTTGGTTTCCAGGGGAGTTCTAAGCAATTTTTTTCGAATAAGGATTCACTTAAAAACAGCATATTCAAGCCTTTTGAAATTTATGTTGCATTAAAATGGCTACAAATATGTACCACCGAACAAGGCGTTTTCTACGAAAAATGTAATGGGGCAGAAATTTCAGAGTTGAAAGCCAATTTGATTTTGACTGAATAATTATAGTTTCCGAATCTTGCTAAAAGCGTTTTGTATGTGGAGCGATGTTTCCTTTCGTGCAGCCGAAAAAAATATTGAAACTAAAAAGGGGACTCCATAGTATAGTTTCAGTGAAATTTATTAATTTTTGATTTTTTTTTTTTTTAAGGAAACTAAAGAGAAAACATTTTGTTGTTTGGCGATAAATTTGTTCAAAGTTTGAATTATTTATGCATTCAGACTAACCATTCATAATCTGCTAAAAAGACTATAGAACATAAAATACCGTTTTATACATATTTTCAAAACACTATCAGGCAGGTTTCGCAATTCACATCCGAGTGTATTTCAAACAAAATCATTTTCCAGTTAAAATTTAATGGGGTTGAAATTCACTCGGAAGTGAATTGCAGAACCTCCCTGTATACTTTAGAAAATTGAAAAGAAGTTGATTTTTTTGAAACTCTGAGCCTCCTCGTCTCCTTAAGACCCGTTCTACACTTTTCGCAAAAAAATGGTTCATTATGAATATGCATTTGTTTTTTGTTTTTTTAATTATCTCTATCAAAAATTTGATAAACTTAAAAACTAAGTTAGGTATATTTTCCACGACTTATGTATGTACTTATGCCAGAAACATGAATGTGTAAAAAGGAAAATTTTGGGAAATCAAGTTTGAATTTTTTTTTACGAGTGTTAACTCTACATTTATACAATTGAAATTGTAAAATATGTCGTTTCCGTATGCGTATGGTATTCTGGGTTTTGCTATAACATAGAACATCCAAAGGTTTATCAAGTCAACCCAATAACTCAAAACTGATAAATCTGCACATTCATGCTGCTGGCGGCATAAGGGTGACCATATATTTTCGATTTGATTTTATCATTTTATTTTTTAATTAAAATTGAGTATAATTTTATGCCTTCTTCACAAAAGTTTTTGTGACGTCAAAAACTGCCACATACTACTTTTGTAAATAATTGCATAAAATAGTAAATTAATAATTTTTTAAACGTTTTTATTTTAGTGTAAACACATATTTTTGTATATATTACATATCATACCAATTATTCAAAGATATAGCTCCCAATAACCTTATATGTATACAAGTTTTCCCATAAATGAAGTTGTTACTTTTCAAGTATTTTGCAGACGTGACTACATATCCTTTCAATTAGTTCGACGTTTTTGTATACTAAGAAAAAACAACAAATATTCCACGTTGTAAATTGTAAGTATGTACTCTTGAATACAGATTTCAAACGAAATCGCCACAAATTAGCCAAATTAGTTTTTGCTCCATCAAACAAACAAACTAGTTGGACTAAAAGCAAACAATATCACTATTTATGAAGACTTCATACGAAATCTGAAGGAGGAAAACAAATTTATAATACCATACTCGTTACATAACTAAATTACAAAGTTAAATGATTAGTGATAGAGCTATATTATACATGTATAGGAATGATTATCAATATTGTTTAAATAATATTACATAATACGAAAGAATGCAATTCAATTCATAAAATGAGTTACTGATATTTACATAAGTATAAAGGAAAATGTAAGAAAAAATATAAAACAGTTACTAAAAATACGTCGATTCGACGTATAGATGAGTGCATACACTACATTATTTATTTAATTATTGTGTTCCAAATGTATACATATGGTCCATGTATTTTATTGTGTATGTACTTTCGCAAATGCCATACAAAAAAAGTTGCATATTAAACATTTTTCATATGAAGCGTTAATGTAGCAGCTTGTCGGATAATAGAGTTCTTTCTATAGCAGTCGAATATATAGCAAAAGCTGTCTCCCTTTCAGCTTGCTGCTTTAATGGCTTTTCACATTAAGTGGTCGATGTTTTCATTGATGCGATATACAATTTCGATCACTTTTAAGTGTTAAATCTCAATAGCTGACACACTAGTTTGTTCCGCAATTTACATACCAAACTATAACAAATAAATGTAATCTTATTTAAATTTTTTTTTTATTGAGATAATTCTCTTAAAAAGTAGCTGCCGTGGTCGAGTGGCTAGAAGTGCGCACGACCACTCGGTAGGTCCAGGGCCGAGCAACATCAAAAAACCCTCGGCAAGCCATGGCAATCCTTCGAGTGTATTTCTTCCATGAAAACAAGCTTCTCAATAAAACCATTTGCCGTTCGGAGGTGGCGTAAAACTGTAGGTCCCTGTCCTTTGTGTGACAACATCACGGAGGTTCCTCCAAGCACTAGCAAATGTGTTAGCGCCAAATATATTTGGTTTATATCCCTAAAGTTGAAAAAGCTTAACATCAAATTTATATGAAAATTTTACTTTATAAGGATTTTTTAAAACATTTTTTTTTTTTTGTGGATAAGACCATAGAATCCCATTGAGCTTTCAAAATTTCTATGGAAAATAGGTTAGTTTCGAGTTTAAGGGACGTCATATTCTAAATTGCCTGTTAAACAAATTTTATTTTGCCGGGCTTGCGCATCCTTCCGGCATGTTCTCATTTAGTATCGCTTTTGTTTCAATAAACTCACGTTTGCGGAACCATATTTTTTTGGTATTCATATCCGTTGGCGTAGATTAATTAAATTTTATTATATTTTAATACATGTTTTTATGTATTAACTTATAACATACATATATTTTATTTATTCTACTTAGAAAAAAAAAAAACACCAACCAGCCAAATTAATATTTGAAGCTAGTTTTTTATTGAAAAGTTTTGTTTGACAACAATTAAATATAGCGATTTCTCTCAGCTTAAACTCCCTAAACTTGCTGCGGGCTATTTTTGCCTACCCAGAAGCTGCATATGACCTGCAAGCTCCAGTATCCGTGTTTTGGGCGTAGCATATTTTTAGGTGTACGCTTTATTTGGTTCGAAAAACTTTACGCTGTGTACATAAATCCATAAAAGGTGGTGTTTGAAAAGCTAAACCTTGCGCAGCTTGATGAAAAAAGTCAGAAAATAACGAAGAAATACAGACTACCTAACATTTGTTGGTGTTTGAAAAAAATAAAGATAAAAACTTGCAGAAAAAATTACAAAAATTTATTATTTGGAAAAGATAAATATAAAAAATCAATTAAGGCAAAAATTCAAAAAATCACCCATTTCACTATTGAATTAATCCATTAGCAGCCGATATCACCAGCAATTTAAATGGAAAATGATTTTTTATTTTCTGTCATATAAAATTCAAAAAATTAAAATCATTTTTCACTTAAATTGCTTTCGTGAAATTGGCTGTAAGGTATACATATATATGCATGTAAATGCATATTTATATTTAGTTATATTAGTTATACTAACACAATATTTATGTGTATGTAATACTTAGACATGTGTCGTACACAAATCAAGTACGTCCAGTTACAGGTATTTTTTTCTGTTTTTCTCTTGTAGATGCTTAGTGATGGGTTTACACTGAAGAAATGATATTAATATTTAATGAGTTATTCAAATTTTTGATTTTTGCATACAAAAGAAAAACAAAAAATACATTAAAATGTTTAATTTGTATTTAAACAACATTTTTTTTTTTAGAACTAACCAAATACAGTATAAGTAAGCAAACTCAGTTATGTTGAAGCAAGCAAAACAAACAAACCGAGAAGTAAATGCGAGACGCAACTATTTTAAGGCAGTTGATGAATTAGAAGCGAGGAAATTAATTTATATTTAGTTTCAATTTGTATTTTTCTGCGCTACAGTTTTATTAAAAATTTAAGGCATTTTAATTTAAATTAATTTAAAATTTTAAACAATGAAAAAATAAAATAAAAATATATGTAAAAACTTAGACATACTATAACTCCTTAAAAAAAGCGTCCACGCAAAGGACGCTTAAATTATTATCTAAAAAATAACATACAATTAAATTCAAATAAGCTATCGTAAAAAATTACCGACAAACAAACCAATGATTGATGATTAGTTTAACGTAAATTCAATTATAAATTAACAAAAATATTCGCAAGTTTATTATGCGAAAATGTAAGGTTATTAATTTCAATAAAAAAAAATTTTTAAAGTACATAAAAATAAAAAAACAACAACAAACAATTCAATTACATTGGAAACTAAAAAGAAACTAACTTAAAACAAAAATTAAGTCGTAAGAATCTGTAAAATATTTGTAGTTGTAAACATTTGAATAACCCTAAAAATATGTTTGTATGTATGTAGCTCATTCAGCTACGAACTATTTACTGTACTACTTTTAATGGTTACACTGTGCTCGCCAGTAAACTGGGAGTATCTGGGCTTGCTAAGCTGGTAGTGTGGCTATACC